GTACCCACTTTCCATGTTATGCCTATTATGATTAGCCAGATCCGAGATCTCATTTGGCGCCTAGAAGGCGAGCAAATAGAGAATTCGGGTTAGGCGCTAGAAAGCGACTAGACTAATATCTGTACGGTGTATCGAGTATGACGTCACTCTTTTGGAAGAGTTATTCATACTATATGTGCTTGGCAACCGAGTAATGAAGTGAGAGAATGGATCCCTATTTCCTCACCGTGTGAGTCTCACGTGTCATTATTGATATGACTTTCATTTATGTACCCTTTTGTGACTTTTGACTATGTCATAAGGTAAAGGGTTGATGTTCTACTACTGTGGTATGTTGCCTACGGTCATGTATGATTCGGCCTTAAGGGACATCACTGGAAAAGCGGTCAATCCTAAACTAAATGGCATGAGGGCAAATGGAAGATCATCTAGTTTTACACCACTGTTGTATATTCACTGCCGGCAACTCACATCGCTCTGTATGAAAGGTGGATTGAGTGTGAATATATATTGCAAGAATTGAGAGAGTCAAACATGCTCTTTTTTTTTAGGGATTAGAGATGTTTTTTGAACCGGTGTAATTAGATGGGTCTGGGGTATATGAGACACTATTTTTGTTCTTTTTGGGTTGATGTCTCTATGCTGGCTCATTTTGAGTTTCTAGTATAGAGCTCCCACATGCAGGTGTTCTCAACAGTCACACGGTGCATTGGCTAGTATGAGATTGTTCATTTTTGGAGAGATTGAGATAGAGATGTGGCAGTGTCATGCCAACTCATGTGCGAGTGGGAGATGTTAGAAATTGGGCGCTCATGTGGCATGACCCTTTGAACCTTTTGAACTTGAACCTTTTGAACTTGAACCTTTTGAACCTTATCCATGTGAGTTTGAATTTTAATTCAAAACTTATTTGGATAACCATTCATGATATTTATGTCTATCATATCAATAGATATGGATAGATGGATAGATAGATATTGGTGGTTATATATTTGATTATATATTTTAGATAATATATTGATATATCAGATACATATATCAGATACGTGATGTGACCTTTACCCATAACCTTTTTTCCCAGACTCTCTAACTCTCTCCCACAAAACAACGATCAAGCCATTTTGCACTGTGACTTGGATGGGTGATACTAATTTTGTAGTATCACTCCACTGCTAAGTTCGTTGTTCAGATTCTGGAAGCACGTGATTTACCCGCGAGATTCTATCACCTAAAGGTATGATCTAAATATTTTTCCCGTACGTTATAATACTATGATTTACACTTTATAAAATAAAGGTGTTACATATTGAGTCTATCTAATTTTTGTTATGAACACAAAATTTAATAAAATAAACAATTTTAATTATCAAAATGGCATTTATAATGAACATCCCAATCAATGGACTAAAACAAGGCGGAACCCATTTAAAAAATATTACTTAAACTAATACTAATATCTTATAATTATGATCAAATTAGTAATATACTAATACGGGGTGTTTTGGAAACTTAGAAAAAAGTTAATTTTTTTGGCTTTTTAATTTTTTTGCATAAAAAAAATACAAAAAATTATAAAAAAAGCTAACTTTTTGAACTAATGTAGGACAAGATTTTCAGGACAAGATTTTCAGAATTTTTGTATTTTTAGTTTTAATATTTTTGATAAATTATTTTATTAAGATTCTTGTAATTTAGTATAAATAATTTAGAATTATTAAGTTTCTTAAATTTATTATTTTAGAATTAGATTTTGACTAGGATTTTAAATAGTTTAGAATTTTAATTTCCTATTCTCTTAGGTTTTCTAATTTGTGTTGATTTAAGTTTCCTAATTTATTTTAGAATTACTTTTCCTACAACAGCAATGGTTGGTGGCCCAAAAATATGTGGCTTGAATGGCTCAAAACACCCAAAACGACATGGTTTTGGGTGTACAACGATGTCGTTTTGCCATTTTCGAGCCATTAGAGCCCCATATTTTCGAGCCACCAAACATTAATCTTCCTACAAGTATTAGGTTTTAGTTTATTATAAATAGCTATGTAAGCCTCATGGCAAAGACAACTTTTATACAACTTTTATTCATTCAATCAATAATATTAAGATTTTTTTTTTCCTTGTGAATTCAAGGTTCTATTTTTCTCGTGGATTCGATAGCCCCCTTTCGTCTACTAGAACGATATCTAGTCCCCGTGTATTCTGCTGCGTCAAGTGGTATCAGAGCAAGGCTTCTCCTGGCTCGATGTCATTTATCGAAAGAAGAAGTACAAGCTCTATTGACGATGATCGTAGAGAAAGATTTAACAAGATTTGAGTCAAGGGACTTGTCCAAGACCAACCTGTTAGTCACAACGTTAATAGGAACCGCGCTATGGGATTTGCCCAAGGCTAGCCTATTAACCACAACGTCTTGAGACAATCTTCTTGTTATCAATATAATAGTGAGAATGAATCTGAAGATGAGTTATTCAAGAATTATGGTGAATACCAGTCGGTAAAGCGACAACGAAGATTCAGTGATGTGTTCAATAGCAATAATTACATCAATCATAACTTTTCAAATTATCAAGTACCATTAGAAATTCCCTATTTTAATGCTTCTTGTCATGCCGAGGATTTTATTTATTGGTTTCGCAAAGTTGACAAATTCCTTGAGTATATGGAAATCTCTGAAGAAAAGCAAACCAAATATGTCTCACGTAAGTTATAAGGTTACGTTTCTACATGATGGAAACAATTGCAGTATGATCAAAGGCGACAATACAAACAACCAATAAGGACGTGGCATAAGACGAAGAAATTGATGAGTTCTAGATTCCTTCAAACAAATCACGGGCAAATATTGTATCTACAATATCAAAGAAAGCTTGAATCAAAATAATTGTTCCAAGGTAATTTTGATTCACAATATTCTTCGCAATTCAATAATTATTATGGAATTGTGGATATAGATATTCGAGGAACATGACTACGGTTCTGCCAAGTTTGGGTCAATCAAGTCTTGTAGGTCAACAAATTTGTCATGCTTAACCACACATTGAAGAAGAAAAGATTTTGAGTACCTCAATGTTTCATAATTTTGAAGACCCAAATAGACATTCAATTGAAATAGAAAATCAAGTTGATTTCAACAATGGTGAGGACGTTGAAATTGATGAAAGAGAGGTCATTGTAATTACTTTGATCAAGAAGTCTGAAGAAGACAATGAAGAGGTGAAGAAAGAGAAAAAGGTTGAAGTTAGCCAAGAGCTTTTAATGACGGAACTATCATCTCTTGATTATTATGATAGTTATGAGATCGCAAAAGAAAAAGATCTAGTTGAACTCAATGAAAAAGAAGGAATAAAAGATGAGGTAATAAAGTTGACATGTGCACCAAAGAAGTTGATTGAAGATGCAATTGATGTTCGAAAGATGATAATTGAATGTCCAACTGAATCTAAGACAGAGCAAAGTCTAGAGAGTATCCAACATCAACATAAAATACCCTTCGTTGATTTTCTTTGTGTTGAGAAATTTAATTTGATTTTCAATACTTGTCTAATTGATCTTGTCAACCAATTGAAGCATATAGAGAATAACTTTCTGAAAGTAGACTTCTCTGCATATAATGTTCGAAAGAGGGACAAACAACTGAAGTATTTCAAGTATCTTTTTATTTGGGATGGACGATGGCAGATTTCTAATATGAACTCGAGGACGAGTTCTTTCAAAGAAGATGAGTCTGATGTAGGACAAGATTTTAAGAATTTTTGTATTTTAAGTTTTAATATTTTTGATAAATTATTTTATTAGGATTCTTGTAATTTAGTATAAATAATTTAGAATTATTAAGTTTCTTAATTTTATTATCGTCAATCAAGTGACAACTGCCAAGGAGATAAATACTGACGGAAAAGATTGAGCACCCAAAATAGGATCATAGCGAGGCATGATAAGAGCAAAATTGCTCTCATCACAGTGAAGTTCACATGACATATTGATGTAGGACAAGATTTTAAGAATTTTTATATTTTTAGTTTTAATATTTTTGATATATTATTTATTTATTTTATTATTTTAGAATTAGATTTTGACTAGGATTTTAAATAGTTTAGAATTTTAATTTCTTATTCTCTTAGGTTTCCTTATTTGTATTGATTTAAGTTTCCTAATTTATTTTAGAATTACTTTTCCTACAAGTATTAGGTTTAGTTTATTATAAATAGCTATGTAAGCCTCATGACAAAAACAACTTTTATTCATTCAATCAATAATATTAAGATATTTTCTTTTCCTTGTGGATTCAAGATTCTATTTTTCTCGTGGATTCGAGAGTCCCCTTTCGTCTACTAGAACGATATCTAATCCTCGTGTATTTCGCTGCGTCATGAACACAAAAAAGTTAAAAATCACAAAAAAGTCAAAAAATCAAGGAAATGTTTGGTAAAATTTTCTAAATATGATTTGAGAATATAGTTGTATTTTAAATTTGTAAGTTTTAAAATTATGATTTGAATGTGAAAAATTTGTTTGGTGAATGAGTTTTGAATTGAGTGGGAAATTTTTAATGTGATATATGATATCTGATACAAAAGCTTACAATTTATAACTAAATACACAACTCAAAAATCTATTAAAAGCTTATAAAAAATTTTAAAAAATTCTGAAAATATTATTTTATTAAAAATATAAAAAAACAAGTGCCAATTATAAAAAATAAAAAATAAATAAAAAAAAAATGCTATGTTCTGGTTGACAGGCCAGACGACCGGTTGAGTCAAATTTTTTTTTAAAAAAAAATCTCACCTAACACAGAATTTTCTACAATTTTTTATTTTTATTGTGAAAATATAATTTAAAAGATATATCTAAACATGACATTAAAATGTGAAAGTAAAATTATAATTTAGAAATTTAACCAAACACAACCTAACTTTTTTATCAATTTCTCCAAACATCACACAATAATTCATATTAGAACAAAAATTACACCGTCAGACAATCGGTTTCGGACAGGACTGCCGCCGGACCCATCCAGTCAGAAAATTATAGTAATCCTTTGTCAAATTACTGTTATCCCTGCCCTCGGCCCAACAACTTATTGCCTGTTCCAATGGGTATTTTAGTCAGTAACAGATCCTCCATTATTTTTCTCTCTCCTAAATCTACTTCGTGTGAGAGACTGTAGCGGTTATTTGCTGTCAGCAACCGCATAGCCAACGATGCACTCGTCGAAATTACGCCGGAAAGTCACCACCACCGCCGCCACACCCGATGCCGACAAGCTCGACCAGGTCCTCCTCTCCGCCGCCGTCTCCAACGGCGAAGAGTTGGCCCCCTTCGTCCGCAAAGCCTTCGCCTCCGGCAAGCCCGACACTGTCCTCCACCACCTCCGCCACTTCTCCAAATCCAAAGAGTCCGAGATCGAGGAAGTCTGTAAAGCTCACTACCAAGACTTCATCATGGCCGTCGATGACCTCCGGTCTCTCCTCTCCGACGTCGATTCCCTCAAATCTTCTCTCTCCAATTCCACCTCTATGCTTCACTCCGTCGCTGCTCCTCTCTTGTCCTCTCTCGACTCCTTCATCGAGGCTCGGGCCGAGTACCGCAACGTCTCTCTCGCAATCGACTCGGTTCGAACCTGCGTTCAATTGATCGAGCTTTGTTCGCGAGCCAATGTTCATCTCTCTGAGAATGATTTCTACATGGCGTTGAAATGTGTGGACACAATCGAGACTGAGTTTCTCGACAAAACGCCATCGTCTACGCTCCGGAGAATGCTGGAGAAGCAGATTCCGGCGATTCGGTCGCACATCGAACGCCGAGTCAGCAAGGAATTCGGTGATTGGCTCGTTGAGGTTCGTATAGTGAGTCGTAATTTAGGCCAACTCGCTATCGGACAAGCCTCGGCTGCGAGGCAGAGAGAAGAAGAGCTGCGTATGAAGCAGAGGCAAGCCGAGGAACAGAGTCGACTCAGTTTGAGAGACTGTGTTTATGCTTTGGAAGAAGAAGACGACGACGTACTGAGTGGAATCGGTGAGGAAGGTAAGGATGGTTATAGTAATAGTGGGAATGGGATGTTAGGGTTTGATTTGACTCCACTCTATCGAGCGTATCATATACACAAGACGCTAGGGCTTGAAGATCGATTCAAAAAGTATTATTTCGAGAACAGAAAACTTCAATTGACTTCGGACTTTCAGGTATCTTCAATGACACCTTTTCTTGAATCTCATCAGACTTTTTTTGCCCAAATTGCTGGTTTCTTTATAGTTGAAGATCGAATTTTGAGGACTGGTGGACAATTGATATCTAAAATGGAAGTAGAAAATTTGTGGGATGCTGCTGTGAGTAAAATGTGTTCTGTATTAGAAGACCAATTTTCTAGGATGCAAACAGCAAATCATTTGTTGTTGATAAAGGACTACGTGAGTTTGCTCGGAGTGACTTTGCGTCGGTATGGATACCCTATTGATGCTTTGCTTGATGTATTGAGCAAGCACAGAGACAAGTACCATGAGCTATTGTTGTCTGATTGTCGCAAACAGATTGCAGAAGCACTTGCTGCTGATAAGTTTGAGCAGATGTTGATGAAGAAAGAATATGAGTATTCGATGAATGTGCTTTCATTTCAGATACAAACTTCTGATATTGTACCTGCATTTCCATATGTTGCACCATTTTCTTCTACAGCGCCTGATTGTTGTCGAATAGTACGGTCCTTTATTGAGGATTCGGTGAGTTTTATGGCCTACAGTGGGCAGCTTGATTTCTATGATGTTGTGAAGAAGTATTTGGACCGGCTTCTGACTGAGGTGTTGGATGGAGCATTGTTGAAACTTATTAATACTTCCATTCATGGAGTCTCTCAAGGAATGCAAGCAGCAGCAAATATGGCTGTATTGGAGCGTGCTTGTGGTTTCTTCTTTCGTCATGCAGCACAGCTTTCAGGTGTTCCTTTGAGAATGGTGGAGAGGAGTAGGAGGCAGTTTCCGCTGAGCAAAGCCCGTGATGCCGCTGAAGAGATGCTTTCTGGGTTGCTTAAACAGAAAATTGATGGGTTCTTGACACTGATTGAGAATGTGAACTGGATCGCAGATGACCCTTCTCAAAATGGGAATGAATATGTGAATGAAGTAATTATATATTTGGAAACTCTGGTTTCCAGTGCTCAGCAGATATTGCCAGTTCAGGTTCTTAAAAGAGTTTTACTAGATGTTCTTTCTCACATATCAGAGATGATTGTTGGGGCTTTACTTGGGGAATCAGTTAAGAGGTTTAGCATAAATGCTATCATGGGTATTGATGTTGATATTCGGTTGTTGGAATCATTTGCGGAAAATCAGGCTTCTCTTTTGTCAGATGCAGATGCGAATCAGTTGAAAACTGCTCTTGCAGAGGCAAGGCAATTGATTAATTTGCTCTTGAGCAATCATCCAGAAAATTTCTTAAATCCAGTAATCAGGGAAAGAAGTTATAATGCTTTGGATTACAGGAAAGTAGTCATTATATCGGAAAAATTAAGGGATCAGTCGGATCGGTTATTTGGAACCTTTGGATCTAGGGGATACAAGCCGAACCCAAAAAAGAAGTCTCTAGATGCATTGGTAAAAAAACTCAAGGATGTGAACTGATTATATGCATTCCTGTACGCATACCCATTCCTGTATGTATGTCCATAGTACTTTTAATTGTACTTTCTGTTCACTGTAATTAGCATTACCTCATAGTTTTTCATTCCAAATTTGATTTTCTTGTTTATAAGCCCTTTGATTTGTTGTCAGTTTGATTGTTTCATAAGATATGTCAATTTCGTACATTGATGGCCACATTATGTATTGTTTGTCATATTGAATTATTTTGAGTTATATCAATGGATATTCCATTGCTCTAAATTCCTGCATTCTTCTGCAGATCTTATATAGGCCAAGTGCAATGCTATCTTGATGCCCACAAACTCAGGTGCGCACCAGGACAGCAACTGTACTGCGCATTTCATCGTATTTTTGACTTGTTGGTTCACTGATGTGTCCTCTAGTTTTGTCTCTATGCTATCTTCTTACATTTGGGAGTGTTTCTATTTGAGTTAATTAGTTTTGATTTTTTTGATGAAGTTTCCCTTATTTTTTAAAAACATAAATAAATAAACTCGTCAGTTAAAGGAAAAAAAATAAGTAGCTCTTGTTTGGCATAAAACATGGACATTTATCTCATTTGGATGGAATTTAAGATTATATTCTATGATTATGATCCTTGTTACACATTTAACTTTTATGCTGAGATTATGACAGATTTATGTGGCATTGACTGGTAGGACTAATAAGTATTTGTGGTCAACGTACTTAGAGAATTACAACGTAAGATGGATGAAGAGTAACTTGAGAAAATATTTTAAACTTCAATGTCAGATAGACTATAGTCAATTGTTAATGGTTAATAAGCAATCTTACAGTTTTGCTTCTATGCTAAATATAAACTAGTCATAGTCTGTGAGATGCTTATTTAGTTCTCCATTGGGTTAGCAATTGTATGTAACATATATAGGAGTCTATGCAAGCCAATTGACCCACAGAGAGAGAGGGCTTTAACAAATCATTTGTCAACCCATGCCTCAGTTGGTAGCATGCCCAGGGAGTATTTTATCGTGGCTGTCAGTGGCGGAACATTTGGTCCTGGTCCTTGTTGAACAAGATGACATGGAGACACTTTTTTCCTAATATCATTGGATGGCTTAACAGTATTTGCTCAAAAGATAGGGTGGGTGTGGGAGTGGGTGTGTCCATAAAATTGGCTACGAAACTTTTTTTTTTTCATTTTTTACAACCTTTGGCTGCCAACGAGTTAAGAATTTCATAAGTTGGGGTTTTTTTTACTAATAATAGAAGACACATTACAGAGTCTGTAGTCCAAAGGTGACATATTGTGGAAACAATTTGGCCTTCTTAAACTTCTGTTGCTGCTATCTGTGGATTGAATATTTTACATTTCTTAAGCTTCCATGTGCTTGCACTTGCACATAACCTTGATAGCTTTTACACATCACACACTACTACACCATTAGTTGGATGTGTTTGTTTGGGGATTATAATCTTGACTACTGATCAGAAGAGGGTTTTTGTTTTTTCTTCTGAAATGTATCAGATAAATTAGTTCTTTGGTTGATTAGGTGACATGTCATTGGTTTCCATCCTCCTGAGCTCTTACTAGAATCAATGTTTGTCATTTTTTATATTTCACTGGATTTTCCTTGTAGAAAAGCAGGGAGAGGAGAATAAATTTCTTAACATGCATCGAAAGTAGATTGCTATTTTAGAGAAAATGATTTGGTTACTTAGTCCCATATTTAGATGTTAAAGTCATAGTCGACACTTCGGTACCATTTTGAAGCTGTGACCTTACTTGGGGCAGGATAATTATCTGGTAAGTTCGCCTACCACTTGGCCGTATGTTTGCAGATCCTATAGGTCTGACCTATGAGATAATTTCTGCTTGGGGGCAGGTTGAGATAGTTGCTCGGGCAACATCTTTGCTTGGGCTTTTTGGCTGACTGTCAAGTTACACTTTGACATCCACAGATGCTTCTGTTGATATTGTTCTTAACCGCTTTACTTATAACACTTAATGTGAAATCACATGCTAATGATTGTTTAGTGGATGCAGTGAAATTCCTTCCCCTCTTTTATTTTCTCCTCCTACTGCCTGCCATATCCCTAGTTTCGTCTAGCGTGGGATCCAACTGAATCTCAACCAATTCTCCTTGATAAAGAAAGGCAAGTCACAGGTTCGGACTTTTAACTTCCTAGGCCATGATCATGTGAGATTTTCATATTGCATATTGAAATATGAATGAATTTTGTTGTTTTTTCACCTCTTATATGAATTTACACAATAAAAATACCTATTCAATTGGTTTATTTCTAAAGAGAAGTAGAATGGGACTCTCTCCGTGAAGTTTTTGAGTTTCAGGAAAATGATATGTAGATTTCATACAAAGGCATTCTCATCATGTTAGTAGTCAAAGCTCCACAAATCTACTCTTTTTGGGTGTTTTGGAAAGATAATTAAAAGTTGATTTTTTAACTTTTTTTGATTTCTTTTTTGAAAAAACGTGTAAAAAATAAGAGAGGTGATATGATCCAAATAGGTTAAAAGTTGACTTTTGACTTTTTATTGTGTTCCCAAACTGGCCCTTTGACATGTCAATTTGGTTTATAAAGTTCTTTTATTTTTTTCTCTTCTTATATTGTCAGTGGTCTTTGTAATTTTAATTACATTAATTTTGTCAATTTTTTACAGTGTGTCACTTTGATCTAATTAATACATGTTAAAAAATTAGCAATTAAAAAGGAAATTAGGGGCAAAACAATTCATTTACTGCTGCTCTTTCAACAAATGAAGGGAAATTATGAACAAAATGATCCATTCACTATTAACATCCCTTTCATTCATTTCCCCGCACCATCATCTCTCTTCGCCAATGCAACCGGAATCACACAACTACTATCTCCATATTTTTAAAGAAAATCAAACAAGGAGAACAATTATAAAATCATTTCTACTATTTTCATTTCAAAATATAAGTCCCTTATTTTATTTTTCATTATCTTAAAATATTAGCCTCTTTTTAAAAATTAAGAAATAAAATAATATAAATTTACTATTTTGCTTTCCTTTTAAATTTAATAATAAATAAAATTACAATTATGACAATTGATGTTCCTAAAAAAATGTACTATCAAAGGATAATTTTGAAAAATAAATATTTTTAAAATGCAATAATTGTACCATCAGAAAAGGTTAAAATTTTAAAATATGATGTAAAAATGCTAATATGTTTTAGATGATTTTTTGATTTTTTTACGAAAATATTCACAAAAAGTAGAGAAAAATGAAATCTTTGATTTTTTAGTATAAATTGTTGACTTTTTAATTTTTTTAATAACTTTTTAATTTTTAAATTAAAAAATAATGTGGCCAAACGAGTCATTATTTTGCATTTTTCTGTGGTTACGTTTCCCTTACCAAATCGTAATCTAAACGTAACTTCAAATCTCGTGCAGTAATTGAAAATTTTAAAACCATTAGTGACAAGTGGACAAAACCATCACTCTCAAATCCCTACTAAACTTATCGCATGACATGTAATTTATTGGTTGCGTAATTCAAAAATATTATGTGAGATTTATATTATCTATATTATTATTCTTGTTATATAAAGCTAATTCACCAAATTTAGTATAGATGACACATTTTGTTATTCTAAAAATGTCTATGATAGTTTGAAAATCACTTATGTGAAAAAATTGATTCAAATTTTTAAAATTTGAATTATTCATCTTTTTTATTATTTAATTATATACTTTTATACACATTGTATGTACCTGTCGCAATCTATATCTTACCATAATAAACAAAGAAAAAAAATTTAAGACAATATTAATTCACTTAGGTCATTCTTTACCACATAAAAAATATAAATGTGATAAAAATAAATTTTAAGAGATTAGTTGCACTACAAGTAAATTAATCTAAATATTTTGAGTTGTCAAAAAACATAAAGTGGGATAACATGCCATACCATAAGATATAGCATTGAATACAAATATGAATATGGGTATGGGGAATCGGTGTGATTAATATTGGTTTGTTGTCCCCACTTTCATTAATAGTTGGGGGCCTTTCTTTTCTTTGTTTTAATTGACGAAATCTCGTGTTGTTTCCTCCATGTGAAAACGTGAATCACTATTGGTTGATTTAGTAATAAGGTTTTTGAATTTCTCGTTCAAATTCATAGTTTTTTTTGTAAGAATTAAATATATTTTAATGTTTAAAATATACAGAAAGCCTTAATCTTAGTCTCTGCATAAGTGTTGTAAAATTTCGTAAGCACAAATTTTACCTTAACTTTAGTCCCGATATAGATGCAAGAAGATTCTCTACAGATGCACTATAGATGCTAAAAAATAATAATAGTACTATATGTATCGATTAATTCTCATCTATTATATAAATTATAAGGGCTGGTTTGGGGTAACCTGAATCAGTCAAAAATTCAAAAAGTTACTCTAAAATCCAAAAAAATATCACTATTCATCCAAAAAAAAATTAAAAAATTAATTTCTTTCAAAACAGGTACACACGGAATTGACAAATAGTCAGCGGCTGTGTGCGGCAGTGCAGAACAAAAGAAATGATTGGGTGTGATTTTTATACACACCGTTGTTCGTCCCATGGGGCCATCACGGGTTCCGTTTTGATAATCTGAACCGTTCAATATGTAGAAATCGTTGAGTAATATATGTCTGCCAAAAATCACATTAACCGGATATCGATAACTATATGATCAAATCAGTTATGTACAACAAATGGATGGTGTTATAATTAATGATTGAAAAATAAATAAATCTAATCAGATAGCTATCGATATCCGATTAACATGATTTTTTGTAGGTACATAGTGTTCGACGAGTTACACACATTGAACGGTTCAGATTATTAAAATGGGACCCGTGATGACCCCCACGGGCCAAACAAAACCGTCCAATGCTTTATACAAAAATTAGCCAATAATTTCCAACCCCAATACACGGCTGCATTGTGTACGGCTGGGGCCCACCACTCTCTAATCATCTCTTACATATTTTTTTTATACAATTTTTTAATACACATTTTTTCATAAAAATTCAAAAAGTTAACCCAAACCTCCATATTTTTTTCTCAACTTTTTTAGTCCAAAAAGACAAAAAATCTACTTTTTTAAGACACCCCAAACCAGCCCTAAATATCTAAAATTCTAAAAATTATACAATATTAATTAATATATTAATTTATATATATAGCTTTATTTAAAAAACAATACTCTTATGTAAATTAACCTAGCTACATATCTATATTTATGATCGAAAAAAGAAAAGAAAAGAAAAGGTGACAAACGTTTTGAACTGGGGCCCACGAGAAGACACTTTGCAGGCAATCGCTGACTACAAAGGTGACAACGTTTGTGTGTGACTTTTTTCGGGGGCCACCATGGGCAAACCAATGGATGGATGGATGGATGGGCCGAGCATGCGTTGGTGAATTTTCAAGCACGTGGACCACGCGTTCTCCTTAATATGACTTTTTTTTTGTTTGATAAATCATTAATATGACTTAAGTATTAAGAAATGATGGATATAAATTATTAATTTTTTTAATAATTATGTAAGAATTATTATTTTTAATTTTTTTACATTTATTTTCAGACTAAATAAAATTTTTAATTTCAGGCCTTGTTTGGCATCCCTTAAAAAAATTAAAAAATTAAAAAGTCACTATCCTATTTAAGTCATATCATCTTATTTAAATCACATCACCTCTCTACCACGTCACCTCAAACTCAACCTATACCCAACCTATATTTCATAAAAAGTCAAAAAGTACATTTATTTAGAACATCTCAAACAATCCCTTCTTAATCAAAACGGGACCGGTGGTGGGCCCTCACGGGTCCAACAACACGGTCTAGTCCGATCTTGGACTGGACCAAAGCCACTGCCAAAAAGGGTCCAGCTTGTCTCAAGTTGAGATCAAGACTGGACCCGTCCAGTTCGGTCCATGGGACTCATTTTTTGGGTCCATTTTGATAATCTGAACCGTTCAATGTGTAGAACTCATCGAGTATTATATAACTATACAAAATCACGCTGGTCAGATATCAATAGCTATCTGTTCAAATCAGTTTTGTATAAAAAAATAGACGGTGAAACAATTAACGGTTGATAAAAAAACTATTTTGTTCACATAGCTATCGATATCCGATCAACGTGATTTTTTACAAGCATATAGTACTCAACGAGTTCTACACATTGAACGGTTCGGATTATCAAAACGGGACCGGTGATGGGCTCGGGCCCAACAATACGGTCCAGTCCGATCTTAGACTGGACTAAAGCCACTGCCAAAAAAAAATAAGAGATTACCATTAATTCATAGAGGTTATATACTACTAAAAAAATTATAACTTTAATTATTCATGTTTACTATTCTTTGTAAATAATTTTTTTCAATATCGGATAATTTAAAACTTATTAATTACGATGGTGTTACATATACCAATTAATATATTAACTAGTGTACCAACACTAGTTATGACATTATTATCGATTCCACTCATTTATCACATTACAAATTTTAAAAATCTCTTAAATTTTGTCACATATACTAGTTAATATATCAAGAGTAATGCTAGGGATACCAAATTTTTTACCAAACAAATGACTAAATGTCTCACATGGGTGTGGGGTCCACAATTTTGTGGGCCCCACATCCATGTGAGACATTTAGTCATTTATTTGGTAGAAAATTTGGGACCTCTAACATTTTCCATATATCAATTGATACATATAACATTATTTTATTAATTATTGATTTAGACCTCCTTAAAATACCTACCCCACAACTCCCTCACTCACATGGAGGTTGGGAATTGAATGACAAGAAAAAGAAAAAAAAAATTAACCAATTAAAATTAAAGAGGATCAAGAGAATGACCCCTAAAAGGGTCTCAACCTTTATCCCATCCATAAAAAGACTCCCAAAAAAATGCTGAGAGAAACAAAGCAAACCACCCCACGTGAAACGCACGTAGGAGGGTAGTCGAAAACAAATTGCACTTTCTTAAGATGTCCAATAAAAACACTTTCCTTGTAACACCGAAATTCACCAACCCTCTAGAAAAATTATTGATTGATATATTTGAGATCAATCCTAAATTTTAATATTTCACCATTTTTTTAATTATTTAATATAAAATTATCAATTTTATTTTTTTTACCAACTATTGACTCTCTAAAAAATTATTAGTTTTGAGATATTATGTGTCATATCTGAGGCTAATCATAAATTTTCATGTCCCTTTATCTTTCTTAAGTTTCGTTTGGTATTAACTACGGTAGCCAATTTTTTTATGATGAGACCTTTTTAAGGTCGTTTGGTTTTTATTTTTGGGTTTTTTTGACTTTTATGAGAATAAAAATGTAATGATTATGATTTAGATGTAACATTTTATTTTATTAACTTATATAACTTATTTTATTTTTTTGTACTTTTTTAACCTCAAAACATTTACCAAATGAGGACTAATCACTTAAAAGTATAAATTTTACTCGTTTTATCAATCATAGTGGGCGTTTGAAAAGTTACTATTTTAGTAAATTATTTTAGTAGGTTAAAATTTTTATATTTAAGATGATAGTTGAATTTTTTCGTAGTTGGATATGATATTTGTAAGAAAAAAAATGAAATGATTATGAATTTGATGTGATATTTTATCTTATTAATTATTTTAATCTATTGTATCTTTTTATGAATTTAGTTCAAAAAAACAAAAAAATAACATTTACCAAACACCTCCGTGTATAGAGTGCCATATGACATTGCTTACCGACCAACCAATAACTTCTCAATTCTATGTGATTTCAAAGCCTGACCCACGTAAAAAAACCTACCCATGTAAAACAAATCATGCTAATCAACTCAAGCGAATAGTTCATATAATTTGTTAAAAAATCAATTAAATTTATTTGTTATGTAACTAAATTAACTTAAATATATTTTATTTTTAAGTGAAATTTAAACAATTTGCTACTTGAGTTGTTAAGTATGTGGATATTTGAAATTAACTTTTTAAGAATATTTTGCTTTTTTTAGGATATTAATTTTTTTAGTTGTATGAAAATACATAAATGATTGATGTCATATTTTCATTTTTTTTTTTTGACTTGAATTTTCTATATTATTCTTCCAAAAGCAAAAATATCTATGCACTCATAATGATAATTTAATTTTTTTCAAACTAATACAATAATTTTTTGACTCTTTTTTTTTTTTTTTTTTCAGTGCATGCCTAATACATTTGGAAATTTTCAATTAAAAAGCCAATACATCAAACAAAGTGTATATATATTACAAAATTAATTATTTGAATTCAATTGCTATAAATATTGACTTATTAAATAAACAAGTCCAATTGTTCATTTGAAAATTAACTATTTTAATTAGAGAAAAATAGTGAAACATCTCCCTCTAACTTTGTATAATATGAGAGATTTAAGATTTTTTTTTATTAGTTAAGATCCCTCTTAGAGAAATTTCACAATTTCTCTGTGAAATCAAAGAAATTTCTTTGTGAAAATTGAAATTTTTTTGTGTCGTGATCGAAATTTCTCTGAATCAGACAAAATTTCTCTAAGTTGAATTTTCTCTATAAAAATGTTGAGGAACCTTGACTATTAGAAAATATTGTATGTCCTTTATCTTATAAAATCTTAATATTAGAGATCTTAAAAAAAAATTCCCTTTCAATTAATTATTTCATATTTTATATATAAAAAAAAAACTATGTAAAAAATTAGACACAGTAGTACAATTAAATATTTTGAATTTTTTTGACTATTTTAAATAAAATAAAATAAAAAATCAACACGTCAAATACCAATTTTTGGCCTCCTTAAATTTTAAAGCAATCTTAAGAGTTCACTTGGAATGTGGGTTGTTTTTTGGCTATTCTAGTCTAGAGTTAAAAAACTTCATTTGGAATAGGTTTTTTGATTTTTTAATTTTGTGAGAGAAAAAATAAAATGATTATGATTTAAATATGACATTTTGGATTATTTGGAGTGCACTAATAAGTACACATTTTTTATCTTTTTTAATTCATATCATCTCTTTATTTTTTTACACATATTTTTATAAAAATTTAAAAAATACACTTATTTAAATCATTTCAAACCACTTCTATTGTGTTGAAAAATTTATCTTATCCTTTTATGATTATTTCAACTTTAAAAAAAAAAATTCAATTTTAACTTTATGTGAAACGAAGACTAATAAATGAGCTCGCCTAATTTCAAAGACTCACAACTCATCCCCTCACTCCCTTTAAATACAGTTCCAACACTCTGTTCAACCGCCCGTCAAACCAAACCCATCTCAAATCTACCCACTCAAGATGTCTTCGCCGGCGATTCACTGCCTCTTTCTCCTCCTCCTAATCACCATCTCCTCCGTCGCCGCCGACGATACCCTGACGGTCTACCAAGCTCTTGAGAGTTACGGTTTTCCTATTGGTCTTCTTCCAGTGGGCGTCACAGGCTACGAATTGGACCCATCTTCAGGCAAATTCAAGGCCTATTTGGACGGAACTTGCAGTTTCAAAGTGGACGATTACGAGCTCAAGTACAAATCGACCATCTCAGGGGTTATAACCAAGAACAGGATCAGGAATTTGAAGGGTATCAGCGTCAAAGTGCTCATCCTTTGGCTCAACATCTCGGAGGTGATTCGCGACGACGACGAGCTCGAGTTTTCTGTTGGGATCGCTTCGGCCAACTTTGCGGTGGACAACTTTGAGGAATGCCCACAATGTGGTTGTGGATTTGACTGTGTGAATGGGGAGAGGAAGGGCGTCAAGCTCAGTCTGAATCGGTTCGTGTCTTCTCTTGTGGACTGAATTTGTATGGTGTGATGTGATCTGTGTTTTTATGCAGTTCAGTACTTCACGAGAAATTTTAAGGTTTTTTTTTTTTTTTTTAAATTTAAGAAATAGAATGGATGTTGTACCCTTTGATTCGGATTATGCATTTTTGCACCGAAAATAATTACATAATCAAATATAATCTTCTTTTATTTATATATATATTATATGCATTAATTAAATTTGATAGTTAAGCCTCGTTTGACAAGTATTTTTTTAGTTAAAAAATTATTAAAAAAAATTAAAAAGTTAACAATTTATACAAAAAAAGTCAAAGATTTTTTTTTCTTTTTATTTTTTATAAAAATCAGAGGGAACATTTATATAAATTTTTACGATTGACTTCAAGAAAGATGATATATATATATATATATATTATTTGTAACCAGTATATATCATGAACAATAAATAATAATAATAAAAAGTCATGGATATAAGTTTTAAAATAAGTTATCTGCTCTGGTGTGATTTATGTGTCGTTTGGCAAACTTGACTTTTTGATTTTTTTTTAACGTTTTTAGTCTGAAATTTTTTTATTCGTTTGGTTGTTTTGTTTGATTTTTTTGACTTTTTTTATTAGAATAATAAAATTGTCCTCCACTTAAGAATAATGCTTTTTTAACTTTTTATTTATATATGGATCAATTTGATAATTTTATATAACTGCTCTGGTGTGATTTATGTGTCGTTTGGTAAACTTGACTTTTTGATATTTTTTTAACGTTTTTAGTTTGAAACTTTTTTATTCGTTTGGTTTTCTTGTTTGATTTTCTTGGCTTTTTTTTATTGGAATAATAAAATTGTCCTCCACTTAAGAATAATGCTTTTTTAACTTTTTATTTATATATGGATCAATTTGATAATTTTATGTTAAAAGTTAAATATTTTGTAATTTTGTAATTTTTTTTTGTCCTTATGTACTTATTTATGCCCAATATGTTTATCAAACCAAGGCTTAATTTCATCAACACCAACGCAAAAATTGACTTTACTTTTATTATTGAGCTTTCTAAATTTTTATGCACTATAAAATTAAATTATTTAAAAAATTATTCAAATTCATCTCTTTATATAAATAAATTAAATTTAAACATATTTTAAAATATATTAAATTTTAAAATTAAACTAGAGCAATTAATATTTAGCTTGACTTTCATAGATCTTATATAATTATGTTTGAAGTTGATTAAAAATTGACACTTTGTCACATCTTAGGGATAAATTTTTGAACTTTTGTTTAATTATGCATCTATTTCTCTGTTGAATAGTTATGTAATGAGTTGACTATTAACTATATATATTTTGCTTAATACATTAGTGTAGGTCTATGAAGCACGGACACGTCTCTGGAGGCAGCGTATGGGTGTAATATATATATATATATATTAATTAATACATATAATATTATTTTTTTAAGAGACTCAATCCTTTTCCAAGTAATACTACTTGATACTAAGGCCTGGTTTAGAATACTCAAAAAAATCTAAAAAAATTAAAAAATTACTAAAAAAATTAAAAAGTTATTATTACTTATTAAAAAAAATATAAAAAAAATTAATTTTACACGAAATTATTACAAACAACTCCGACGTCCCACCGGCACATAACTGAGTTTTTTAGAAAAATTGTACAGGCGGGTGCACAAACAACTCGGTGTTGTTCGGCCTATGGGGACCCATCATAGGTCCCCTTTTTGACAATTTGAACCGTTGAACGTGTAGAACTCGTCGAGTACTATATATTAGTAGAAAATTACGTTGATCGGATATCGCTAACTATATGATCAAATCAGTTTTGTATAAAAAAAAAGATGCTGTTATCGTTAATGGTTAAAAAAACTATTCCGATCAGATAGCTATTGATATCCGATCAACGTGATTTTTTACAGGTATATAGTACTCGACGAATTTTACACATTTAACGGTTCAGATTATCAAAACGGGACCCATGAGGGCCCCCACAGGCCGAACAGCACCGTCCAATGTAATACCCGAAAGTAGGCAACCATTTCTCATCATCAATTCACTCTGCCCAGACAGACAGCCGTACTACCTACTATCCTTATCTTCTCCTGCACACTAATTTATACAATTTTTTAATATACATTTTTTCGTAAAATGTCAAAAAGTTAACAACTTAACTCAAACAATCATTTTTTTTAAAAAACTTTTTAGTCTAAAAATTCAAAAAGTACACTTATTTAAGACATTCCAAACAACTCCTAATTTTTCTAGGCCACTTGATTGTTGTTTTTTTGCTCTTAGAGAATCTCAAACGGTTCACTTAATTTTTCACAAAAGTTGAGTAAAAAAATGATTATTTTCTCAATCTAATACAGAATGCTTCAATGGTTGATTTTCATCAAATCTGCTCCAGGGACAATCGGTTGGTCGACAGGTAAGACAAAATATTTTTTTTTTGAATTGTTTGAACCTACCTATTTGAACTGTTTGAACCTTTTAGTGGTCGACCGGTTGGTCAACCGGCTGGACAATCGGTTTAGCTCTTTCAATGGTCAGGAACAGTAATTTGGTAAAATCAGTACCCTGTTCTCAATTTGATAATTTTTTTATTGAATTTTTATTTTAATATCAATTTAATGAAAAGATTGAAACACCAAAAAGTATTTTTTTTACCAAAATTTGAATCTATTGCCAAGTTTAAATAACACTCTCCAAGACTTGAAAACACAGTTCCGATGACCAAGTCAAAAACGTGACGTGGTGGAATCACGGCGTACCATAAATAAAACCAGGAGGGAACCACGAGGCCTCGTTTCTCTCGCGACAACCCCAAAAACCATTAGCCAAAATTAATGGGAGAAAAATATTCAAAATAACTCTTAATCGTTTTTGTTAAAAAAATATGTAGAAATTATTTAAAAATATTTTAAAATACATAAAAAAATATATAGAGATTATAAATAATTTATTTTTTAATATTTTTATTAACAATTCTTAAATATATCATTAGTGAAACCCATTAATAAATTAGTGCCTTCTTGAGAGTTTATGAAATGTAAATTTTGACAAAAAAATAAATTAATACTAAAAAAATAAATTATTTTGTTTATCTGTAGTCTTTCGTTTTTTTTTTTTTTAAAAAAATTGACAAAAATAGTTTGCCTTTACATTTTCCAATGGGCTGTCATAATTATTTTTTTCTTCTTTTTGGTCTAGGAAATATTAATACTCCTATATTGAGATGCACTAAAACAATAGACAGATTGTTATTATTATTTTCATTAATGATTCATCCACATGAATTTTTTTCCCTCCAAATGTGATTTTTATCTACAAGAGTCTCAATTACATATATTCATACTGTACTTATATTGTATGAATATAGCGGTGCTGTATTATTTTTTATTCCAGATCTACTTGATGGGTTAGGGGTGGCTATGTGCCCAACAATGGCCCACTCAATCCACCCAAGTCTGATATTTGTAAGGATTGTGAAAAATATTTAGTCCATAAGAATAATAGGAATCTAAAAAAAATATCATGAAATATATCATGAAAATTTTTGGTCATTTGATTAATGTATAGTATTTTATTATATATGTAATCTAAAGATAGAAAATCTTTCATGATATTTTTTTTTATAATTCCTAACATTACTCTTTAGTCCATGAGATCGAACTCACTGAACTGAAATTTTGTGTTCACTTAATATTTGGGTTAGGCTTGTGCCCATTAATACTACAACTATGGGCTGGGTTGGGCCTGAAACCACTGATTTAGATTGAAGCCAATAAAGACTCTCTTCTTCAAAAAAAGAGGTGGTCCAGCCCAATCCAATAAAACCCACCACCTAGTGGAGAAACATCATCAAAAAAAGGAACTCGATTCATCAGACTCGAAATCAAAAAGTTCTGCCGCGTGCTCTCTTTCTCTCTCTCCTGGAAAATTATTACTTCGTTTTAAAATAATAATTATTTTTAAGGAATTTAACCCCTTTTTTATAATATAATTATTGTATTTTAAAAATATTAATTTTTTTATATTATTATTTGATAGTATATTTTTTAAAAAAATATCAATTATCATAATTGTATTTTTTATGTTATTAATAAATTTAAAAGAAGGGTAAAATAGTAAATTTATATTATTTTATTTCTTCATTTTTAAAAAGGAACTAATATTTTGAAATAATAAAAAATAAAATAAAAAACTAATATTTTGAGACGAAGAGAGTAAGTATTTTTGGAGATTCACGTCACGTGTCTAAGTTCTATCAATCTCATTCACAAATCATTATACTCTCTCATATTTTTCAATCATTCAATATAAAATTATAATATTTCACTTTTTTTTATCAATTTTAATATCATTAAGTACTACCGTGATCCCGACAATACCCAATAATTATCCCTCCCTCTCCTTCACAACCCAATCACCATTGCGGCCGTAGCCAACAGGGAAGCGCTCTTACGACTTACCTTACCACTGCAGCCATGAACTATGTTTGCTTTGCGAAATTGATTATTTTAAATAATTTTTTAATTTTTTTTTTAAAAAAAATTATATGATAATTTTTAATAATTTTTTTTTTTAGTTAAAAAATAAACTTTCCAAACAAAGTCATCATAAAAATAAAAAATAAAAAACTATTCTAAATTTGGAATGTTTTTACAGTATAAACTATTTTTTTTTTTATCAAAATTTTTAAGTGTATATAATTTGATTATAAAATTGAATAAAAAAAAATCTTTTTGAATTATCGGACATAAATAATTCATAACTTTTACTATAAAATAAATATAACAAATTGAACTTATATTTCTGACAGTGTACCTTTTTAGTATAAAATAAATCTAACATTTTTTTTTTGTTTTTTTGGAACTGAGGAAATATGCATTACGAAGAAGAGAACAAATTGAACTTATATTTCTTACGGAGTATCTTTTTAGTGATGCAGTCCAGACAATAGATGATTCAACTCAAGTTGATAAAAGGGTCAAGTCAACTTTGCAAGTTGCTTCCAATAAAAATGCATAGCATTCCTACCTAATTCATTTAGATTTTTAAAAAGTATAATGTTTTTTTTTGTCTTAAATTGAAGATATT